CTGCCTAACCTCACATGCTGCCTCTTGGCTCCTGAGAGTGCCCAGCAGGATCAAAACTCGGGGCCCCATTTTTAATGAGGAATGTAAACAACTACGGGGCTCACTTATTTGATTCTGCTATTCTCACTCTGGAGCTGGGAGCGGTATATGTTGAAGTACTACAAGTCTCATCATGCCTCTGGGAGTCTTGCCTGTGGCGGTCAAGAGTCTTGCAGGACCTCATGGGACTTGCAGTTCCTCAACACCTGGAGGGACGTAGTTTGGAGACCCTTGCTTTAACCCCGGTTCACATATCCGCGTTCCTGCGGTCCACGTTTTGCGCGGGCATGAGAGCCCATTCCTTTGAATGGTCTCCCTGTGCCCCATGTCACGCAGGGAAGAAGTCCCGGCACTTCTTCTGAAAACGCAGGAGAGGTTCTCAGTACGGTTGCGATTCCCAGTGCGGGCGGCGTGCCATTAGAATTGATGGCAACCGCCCGCAGGTCTGCATTCCTCTGTGCGGGTGGTGCGGCTGCACGGATCCGCAGAGGCACCACACGCACAGATGTGAACCTAGCCTTAAGGCGTCCACAGACATGAGATGGCAAATGGAGGTTTTGACTGCCATGTAGTCGCTCTTGTATTGACTGACTGCAAATGATAACTCCCTGAGCAGACATATGTATCCAGGGGGAACGAAAGCAATGGAGGGGGAATCCACGGATTGTGTCTGTATCCTATACAGCACTCACTACTGAAAACAAGATATGTCACGTCTATGGAGTGATATTCAATGGCCGCCAGTAAATCTGGACCTTATAGTAAGGATCACTGGATCCCTCAACTGCAGGAGCTTCTTTTGGCAACTAGTATATCTACATCCGGCACTAATGGATTCTCCTATATAAGTGGCAGGCTGGTGGCACAGGGAGCATGCGGCTGGTCAGCCAAAGTCATCTCCTTTATAGAATATCAGACTGGAAAAAAAGATCTGGCATAAAGAGGAATCCTGCATCCGGAATCCTGCATCCGGAATCCTGCATCCGGAATCCTGCATCCGCTCCAACCAAAATAAAAGTCCATGTTGAGCGGAGCTCATGAAAGGGTTTATTAACCCCTTGGCGCCGGTGCCTCCTGGTCCTTTAAGGGTTCCAGAAGCTGGGAGGCGGGGTTTTAGGGTCATGTGACCACCGTGATTTGCTGTCACATGATCGGGAAAGGTCCCGATCGAAAGAGGAGATTGGGACCTTTCCGTGAGTACTGAACGTGTGTGCTGGGAGCTCTCAGCACATGTTTTTTTATAATAGAATGCAAATGTGCTGGGCCTGGACGCCGGGAGGCCGCACATGTGCATTCAGCCGGCACCAAGAAGTTAAGCAACAGGTTAGCAGGTGAAACGCTCAATAGCAGCGCTACTAATACACGTCTGACATCACACCGACAGCCACACGGACCTATAGCAGGGCAGGACGGATAGAGGGGGCGGATTCTTTGGCATCACGATGAGCACACTCCTGGCACCGCGGACAGCGCTGTGTACACTAGTGGCACTACATACAGATAAGCACAGCGCTGAGACGTACTACACACAATATATACAAATAAATATGGCAAGACCGCCAGCAATACACACCGCATGCGGTCACAGTGCCAGGCCTCCACACTACGGCCTCTCTGATGAGGCGCTAGCAGAATACGGCGCTCGCTACGATGAATGGGGGGCTTCCCTCTGTGCTTTTCAGCAATGTCTTTTCATTCAACAGAGGTCTTCAATTCCTCAGATCAAGCTCAAACCACAGGCTCAATGGGACAACAAAAACAAAACATATCCAGCAACAATGACCGATGAGGTGTATAATTAAAGGAGCTCACCATCAGATATCAAATGTAGAAGTACCATGTTGACACAAAAGCACATCCATTGTTTGGAGAGGGGGGCTTGTCACTGGGGGGGGGTGACCAACAAACCATTGGCAAGACTACAGAACCTGAGAAGACACTACGCAAACAGCGCAATATATTTACAGGACGCTAAAGAAGAACTCTTCCCACAAAAAATGCTAAATGGGGAAGCTCCAAATACACGGTATGGTGAAACTTTGCAGACCCCCGGACCATCACACCCAAAACCATGGGCATTAACAAGAGTTGTCTAGCCCCGCCTCCTTTTGTAACGGTAACAACCCCCTACTCTTCTAGGAAGACTTTCTGCAAGATTTTGTATTGCGTCTGTGAAAATTTGTGCCCCTAGGTCCAAAGGTCATCTGAGGTCAGGTTCTGATATCAGGATCACAACACCTGCCTTGCAATCAGCGTTCCGATTCATCCCAAAGATGTTCCACAAGGCAGGCCATACACGGAGCGATTTTTTTTTTTTCCCAACAACCAAGGGTTGCAGGAAAGAAATTCAGTCAATTCCCCCATCAACACAGGGAATCCCTCCCGCCGAGCCATTGTATTCTCCTGGCCAGTGATTATTGATTGATCTGTTGACGTACGTTTTGATGTCCCTTGACGTACATTTTGACGTCCCTTGATGTACGTTTTGACGTCTGCTGACTTACATTTTGACGTACGTTTTGATGTCCCTTAATGTACAACAGATGTCAAAACGTATGTCAAGGGACGTCAAAATGTACGTCAAGGGACGTCAAAAACGTACATCAAGGGACGTCAAAATGTACATCAAGGGACGTCAAAATGTACCAAGGAACATCAAAACGTACATCAAAGGACGTCAAAACGTACTTCAAAGGACGTCAAAACGTACGTCAAGGGACGTCAAAACGTACATCAAGGGACATCAAAACGTATGTCAAAATGTAAGTCAACAGATGTCAAAACGTACGTCAAAACGTTAAAGTTTTGGGTTTAATCTCTGTAATGAATGTTTTTATACATACAGAATTTTAAAAAAAAAAAACAGCGTGCCCTACAGGAAGCAAAGGTTATTGCACCTCATGAAAGGTCAAGTTTCACCAGTCAATGATTATGACACTACCAAGCAACATTGATACTGCTGGTTGAAGCGTATGGCCAGCCAAAAATGGAGCAACAAAGTCAGAAATAAAAATGCCCTTTTTTCAGTAGAGTAGAATAAAGCGAAGACCCCTGTCAGTGTGCCAGTTACAGATTTTACCTCACTTCTGGGCTGCTGAGACTTGTTGGAGCCCCAGAAAGCTGTAAAAAACCCAACTGGCCTTCTAATCCTTTTCCACTCTATTTAAAAAGAAAAGGCTAAAAAGTCAGTCCCGCTCATATTCCCATCTGGGTTGACACTGGTGGGTCGTGGTTGCCCCCTGGCTTTCTGTGCCTCTTGGGAACACCAAAAGTTAGTTCTCCGTACCTGAGCTCAGAGCCCCGCCCACTAAGGTGCGTGACCCTTTCTGCTGGATTTCAGAAAGCAACAAAAGGTTTGCCACTAAGGAAGTGTTGGGATTATTGGTACTAGAGATCAGTCAGCAGAAAAGGGCGATGGGTCACCCTATGGCTAACGTATACATTTTGAAAGGGACTGACCTTTTAAGAAGTCCTGACTTGTTGGAGCCCCAGAAAGCTGTAAAAACCCCAACTGGCCTTCTAATCCTTTTCCACTCTATTTAAAAAGAAAGGAAAAAAGCTAAAAAGTCAGTCCCGCTCATATTCCCATCTGGGTTGACACTGGTGGGTCGGGGTTGCCCCCTGGCTTTCTGTGCCTCTTGGAAAACACCAAAAGTTAGTTCTCTGTACTTGAGCTCATAGCCCCGCCCACTAAGGTGCGTGACCCTTTCTGCTGGATTTCAGAAAGCAACAAAAGGTTTGCCACGAAGAAGAGTTGGGATTATTGGTACTAGAGATCTGTCAGCAGATAAAAGGGCGATGGGTCACCCTATGGCTAACGTATACATTTTGAGAGGGACTGACCTTTTAAGAAGTCCTGACTTGTTTTGACTTGTTGGAGCCCCAGAAAGCTGTAAAAACCCCAACTGGCCTTCTAACCTTTTTCCACTCTATTTTAAAAGAAAAAAAAAAAAGCTAAAAAGTCAGTCCCGCTCATATTCCCATCTGGGTTGACACTGGTGGGTCGGGGTTGCCCCCTGGCTTTCTGTGCCTCTTGGGAACACCAAAAGTTAATTCTCCCTACCTGAGCTCATAGCCCCGCCCACTAAGGTGCGTGACCCTTTGTGCTGGATTTTAGAAAGCAACAAAAGGTTTGCCACGAAGGATTATTGGTACTAGAGATCTCTCAGCAGAAAAGGGCGATGGGACACCCTATGGCTAATGTATACATTTTGAGAGGGACTGACCTTTTAAGAAGTCCTGCAAAAAAAAAAAAAAGAAAAAGAAAAAAAAAAAGCTGCATATAAGGAATGTTGCTCACTACACAATGAGAGTCATAATAAGTATCAAGTACATACAGCATACATATTTTCTATAAGCCCCTTTCCACGCCAGGAGAAATTGGCAGCGTAGCCAGCGTCCCGTCACATGCGTACTACGCCGCGCGCACTCTTTCACACACGCAGACTACAACGTGACACACACGTTAAAATTCTTGAGGGGTGGTTGTCCGGTAGTCACTAAAACAGGAAGTGATTACGGAGGACGAGTTTGCTTCCTGCCGAGCCGACCTGGAATATGGTACGCGGGATTGCAAACTCCTCCTCCTCTGCGGAGGCGAGGAAGCTTCGCGCTCCGGGTCAACACAGAAGGGAGGGGTGCAGTAGTAACAGGTCCCCATTACAAAAATATACCCATTAAAAACTAGACTTGAACAAAAAAAATAAAAATAAATTAAAAAGATTTGATCATGGAGGGTGGGGAGGGTGGGGGGGGGGGGGGGCAGGAGGGTGAGTGGTGTGCATGCGCCTGTCTCCCCAGCGAGGGGACGAGATAATAGCTGGTCAGATGAGGGGTTTGGGGATGGGGGGGGGGGGGGGGGGGGGGGGAGGGGGACATGTTTACACAGGGGGTTGTATGGTTCAATCAGTTCTCCCCCCCCCTCCTCTCTAATCCTAGAACCAGGGGCCCCCCGCACGCGCTCAGTTGAATGCGTCGGTGTGGTAGCTGACGTGGGAGTCGCTGGTGAGCTGTGTGGTCTCGGTGGCGGAGCTGGGCTGTACCATCACGGGGACATCAGAGGTATCTGGAAAGAGGAAAGACAACGTTTTAGATTCGGTGAAATGCCAAGAAGAGAATCTAAACCCAAAAACAAAAGATTTTATATTGTGGATTACCAGCCCTTTGGTTGCTGCATTAGTTTTCCACTTTATTTTCAGCTGCTGATCCTGCCAGTAACACACTTCCTGTTCTAGGGTGACAACTCTCGCTCCCTGTACTGTGTCTAAGCAGGAGCAGCCTAGGCTGCTACCCTCATGTGGACTACAAATACTGCCCCCCTCCTCCGTTACATAAGGGACTACAAATACTGCCCCCCTCCTCCGTTACATAAGGGACTACAAATACTGCCCCCCTCCTCCGTTACATACGGGACTACAAATACTGCCCCCCCCTCCTCCGTTACATACGGGACTACAAATACTGCCCCTCCTCCTCCGTTACATAAGGGACTACAAATACTGCCCCCCTCCTCCGTTACATAAGGGACTACAAATACTGCCCCCCTCCTCCGTTACTTAAGGGACTACAAATACTGCCCCCTCCTCCATTACATAAGGGACTACAAATACTGCCCCCCTCCTCCGTTACATACGGGACTACAAATACTGCCCCCCTCCTCCGTTACATAAGGGACTACAAATACTGCCCCGCCTCCTCCGTTACATAAGGGACTACAAATACTGCCCCCCTCCTCCGTTACATAAGGGACTACAAATACTGCCCCCCTCCTCCGTTACATAAGGGACTACAAATACTGCCCCCCTCCTCCGTTACATAAGGGACTACAAATACTGCCCCCCTCCTCCGTTACATACGGGACTACAAATACTGCCCCCCTCCTCCGTTACATAAGGGACTACAAATACTGCCTCCCTCCTCCATTACATAAGGGACTACAAATACTGTCCCCCTCCGTTACATAAGGGACTACAAATATTTCCCCCCTCCTCCGTTACATAAGGGACTACAAATACTGCCCCCCTCCTCCGTAACAGAAGGGGAAGTGTTTTGTGGTTCAAGGAACATAGCCGAGAAGGCGAACAATATTGTTTCAGTCCAGCGCGCAGCAAGCGACAAAGACAATGGAATTCTGGCAGCAGCAGTACTTTGCCTGAAAACAGAAAAGGAAGGCAGCCAAGACATTTCAGGACTTGTAGGATGCTTTGCCACCTTCCCGCCCGGGCCTATAGCAGATTGACGGAGGGGCGGGACACTCGCCATTGTGACTGGGCGTCACCCGAATTTGACAGGTAACCGCTCCCACTTCCACTGTGATCGACTAGGATAGTGGTCTCCAAACTGCGTCCCGAGGACCTGATGCGGCCCTTTGCTTGCTTTTATCTGGCCCGTGGGGCACCATTTCATCCACTGATACCAACGATGGGGCACATTTATCCCATTGACACCAATGATGGGGCCCACTGACACCAATGATGGGACATAATTTCCCCTACTGACACCAATGATGGGGCACTATTCCTCCATATGCCACCAATTATGGGGCACATTCCTCCCAATGACACCAACGATGGGGCCCACTGACACCGCTGATGAGACACAATTCCTCTCACTGACACCAATGATGTGGCACAAGTTCTCCCACTGACACCAAAAATGGGGCATTGTTTTTTCTCCACTGACATCGGAACTTTCTCTACTCTCAAAGGTCACAGTCTGGCCCTCCTAAAGTCTGAAGGATAGTACACTGGCCCTTTGTCTAGAAAGTTTGGAGACCCCTTACCTAGGCGATCAGAAGTAGAAGTTGTCCTCCCCCCCCCCCCCCCCTCGGTCCCCGTAGTCTTCAGGGACACGTGACAGGTCCCAGACGACTACAGGGCCATTCATGAAGCGCAACTCTACTCGCGCATGCGCACCCAGCTGTGAAGCCGCAAGGTGCCCACACTAAAGATGGCGGTGCCAGGGAGAGAAGATGGCCAGTGAAACAAGCCATGGTGAGGACACCGCTGGACCGAGGGACAGGTAATTGTCGGTATTTTAAAAGTCAGCAGCTACAGCCTACTACCACATGTATGCTGCCATGTTGGCGACATGAAAACGGAAAATTGTATCAAATACTTACCGTAATTTTCCTTTTCTGGGTCCATTCCATGGCAGCCTACTACCGCATGTATGCTGCCATGTTGGCGCCAGGAAAACGGAAAATTGTATCAAAGCTGCTGTGCTTTCCGCTCGCTGTCTAGAACCGTTCTGCCTCCCCCTCCGCTCTGCTGATAATGACAGCAGTAGTGACAGCTGAGGTGAACAACAGGCTCTTAAATGGCTGGACCACAGTGGTGCAAATGGGACAGTGACTCGGTCCGGATACAGACCACGGTCCACCATGTAGTGATGCCTGTTCTAGAGAAACAACCAATTTAAGCAAATGTGTCATAAGAAAATGCTCCCTCCACCAGCATCACCAAACACATACCCTTTGCTTTTCAATATCGTCCTCTGTTGGGCAACAAGCAGCAGGTACCGGATAAATCTCTTCGCTCCCAGGGGCCGAATGAGGAGTATGTGCAGCTGGCTGGGCCGTCACTAAAGTTTAGGGGTTAGACTACGTTAAGGGTCAGAGACGACTATTTTTTCAGGTGTGATAAATCAATTTGTTTGGTGTCTGATCAGTGTGTGACAAAAAAAAAAAAAGACATCTTAGGGAATCAACTAAGCTTCCTGCTTGGAACTCAGAAGTGCGCCACATTAACAGAGCAGATAGACCCGTTTCATGTCTATCTGTGCCAACTGCACCAGTTTCTATTTCTGAGTGAAATAGAAAATACAGCAGGTCTCCACATGATCAACAGGGGGAATACGGCAGTTTTCCAAATAGAAAACTACCGCAAACTCCCACCAGGTGTGACCTTGTTGTATGGGATGTGAGCTGTCAGCAGACAGACCAGTATACATCCCTCACTCTGCTTGTGCAGTGATCTCGCTACATGAGCAGAGCTTGTACAGGGTCATCACCCCTTTCTCCTTTGCTCTTAGCTGAGTGGTGATGGGCAGAGAGATTCTCCAGCTCTCTCTGAGCTGTACCTGTCACAGGCAAAGATCAGAGAATGGATCACTCCTAATTAACAAAGGGGATTGATAACGAGGAGCAGCATCTGCTCTATGTTCTATGTATAGAAGAGTCAAGCAGGCATGGTGCTTGTACAACTCTTGGCTAATCACCCCCACTGTGGCAAAATCTTTGGCTCTTCATCACTCCTAGAAAACCCCTGAATCGTGGGGCACATGCAGTATACAAACAATGACATTCCTAGCACCAACAGGGCAGCATACTACCACATGTATGCTGCCGTGGATTGGTGCCAGAAAAGGAAAATTAAGGTAAGTATTTGATACAATTTTCTGTTTTCCTGGCGCCAACATGGCAGCATACAAGTGGTAGTATGCTGCCATGAAATGGCCCCAGAAAAATAAAAATACGGTAAGTATTTGATATAAATTTCCATTTTCCTGGCGCCAACAGGGCAGCATACTACAACATGTATGCTGCCGTGGATTGGTGCCAGAAAAGGAAAATTACGGTAAGTATTTGATACAATTTTCTGTTTTCCTGGCGCCAACAGGCAACATACTACCACGAGTATGCTGCCGTGGATTGGAGCCAGAAAAGGAAAATTATAGTAAGTATTTGATACAATTTTCTGTTTTCCTGGCGCAACAACAGAGCAGCATACTACCATGTGTATGCTGTTGTGGATTTGTGAAAGAAAAGGAAAATTATGATAAGTATTTGATATAATTTTCCGTTTTACTGGCACCAACAGGGCAGCATACATGTATAGCTGCCATGGAATGGCCCCAGAAAAGGAAAATAACGGTCAGTATTTGATACAATTTTCTGTTTTCCTGGCGCCAACATGGCAGCATACATGTGGTAGTAGGCTGCCATGGAATGGACCCAGAAAAGGAAAATTACGGTAAGTATTTGATACAATTTTCCGTTTTCATGTCGCCAACATGGCAGAATACATGTATATCTGCCATGGAATGGTTCAGGAAAGGAAAAATACGGTAAGGATTTGATATAATTTTCCATTCCAGAGTACAATGTTGGTGCCTTTTCATAGGTCGCCACATTGCACTGACTGATGGGAAGACGAGGGGCTGATCTGGAGAAATGAAGAAGCAGCTAGTGTACACTGCAGGACAATTTTATTAAGGGGAAGGGTTCTACAGAATGCTGCTCTAATACTGCCAATACTTCTAATTTATATAGCATTTAGTCATGATACAGGTTTGCTTTGGCTGCTTCTAGTCCACTTATCTTGATGACCTAATATTGATTTCCACTACAAAAGGCACAGTAATGGATTTCATTCACATTGTTCACCCCCTCTTAGTGATATGATGTGTTTTTGCTTTAATTCCCCCATTTCAGCAACAAATAAGTTACCTTTTATTTGTTCCCCTGTTGTTCCATTCAGTATTGTGATCCAAACGCAACCACCCAGTACTCCTAAGCATGTGACTTATTTCATGTGAGAGTGCTGATTGGCCCAGAGCTGTCACAGGTAGGGGGAAGTATGCCTCCCAATGCCTGGATGTCCATAGCCTGGTGTAAGCTATGGCTGCGGTGACACGTAGTGTACACAAGGCTTTCTTTTCATTCTGAGCAGCTGAACAGAGTTGGTGGGCTTGAGAAGGGAAGAAAAGTATATATTCCTGAAGAAGGGGGCAATAAAGTGAACCTGTTGCTTTGCCCTACTTTGGTTTATTTTAAAACCCAGTTCCATTTAAAACTTTTTATTTTGTTTTTTTGGAGCAAGGAGGGATTAAAAAGTCTGTGTCCCTATTGGAGGGAATACCCCCCACTTCCTGTGTCCCTATTGGAAGAAATACCCCTCACTTCCTGTGTCCCTATTGGAGGGAATACCCCCCACTTCCTGTGTCCCTATTGGAGGGAATACCCCTCACTTCCTGTGTCCCTATTGGAGGGAATACCCCCACTTCCTGTGTCCCTATTGGAGGGAATACCCCCACTTCCTGTGTCCCTATTGGAGGGAATACCCC